TAGCTATTTTATCTGTGATTTTGTACTTGCTAATATAAGAAATGAATTTTATTTTAATAAGTCTCATTAGCGAATACAGCATATAGCAGAAAATAGCACACATTACTTTTATCACGCGTAAAAGAATTATTTCCCGCGGGATTTGGACAGAAGTTTTATGAGTTTAGTAGGCCAAATATAACTGAGAGCAGATCGGTCGATTAATTTTATAACTACCTACAAAAACCCTGATCTCTGGAAAAATTCCATAGGATATTACTGACCCAAAACAATTGTTAAACAAATCCATCCTCTTTCATTAATTTTAAGGCTTTTGACCATTTTTAGGTCACTTTGTTCAATTAAGCCGGAAATGAATGGGCAGTGCTTGTGGAACATCCTTTATGTACGCGTATCCGGATTTTGTTCGTAATTTCATGGTTTTAATTTTTTTGCGCGAAAACTTAATCCTGTTTCATAAATAAAACTAACCTAAGTTACTCCTTATAACATTAGATATCTGCCAGTGAAAGTCCCGTCAAAATCGGTCCAGCCGTTTCGGAAATTAGTAAAGACAGACAAACAGATAAAAATGTTTTAAAATTGTTTTTTCTTTATACGTACCGTATATACTTTCATGTGTATATAGTAAAATGCTGTTGTTTTGACATTACAAACAGACACTTCAATGTAATTTATCTGTATAGATATATCCTGTACGTACCTATTGAGTAACCTAACCAGCTTTTAAGTTACCCTTATCCTTCCCTAATCTTTAGACTTCCTTGAGCGAGAGCGTGCTATTGTAGGTATTTACAACGTCTATTTCTTATTATCTATACTAATATTATAAAGAGGTAAGGTTTGTGAGTTTGTGACGTTGTAGGGCGTAATCTCTGGATCTACTGAACCGATTTAGATGGAATTTGGTAAGAAGATATTTTGGGACCCTGGGAAGGACATAGGATACTTTTTATAGAGCGAGCGAAGCGAGGGTGAGTTGAGACGGAACGACGGTTCGACGGTGAGGAGTGAGGGATGAGTGGTATGTATATATATACATATATATATATATATACATATATATATATACATATATATATATATATATATATATATATATATATATATATTATATATATATATATATATATATATATATATATAGGCTATTCTATACTTACCGTTAAAAAATATATTCGACGACAATGGAGTACAAGAAAATTTAATCATATAGACTTATTCTATCTAAACTCCTTCATATGTTTGTGCATACAACTAAAACTAGTTAACGTGAGATACGTTATCAGATCAAAGACGAGATCAATCATGTGTAAACGTTTAGACAGACGTACGTCGTACAGTCCGCATCTGTAGCGTGCGTCCCTTAAGGAACTATCGGTGTGTGAAAATCAGTTGAAATTTAATTTTGACGGCTCGAGCAGAGTATGCGCATGCATTAAAAATATATTATAAGTTCATTTCGTAAGCATTTAAATATGAAATATTTGAAATTAATAATTTCTACTTTTTAGGGTTGCGTACCCGAAGGGTGCTAACTTACCATATTACTAAGCCTTCGCTGTTTGTCCGTCCGTCAGAGGGTTGTATCTCATGAAACGTAATAGGTAGAGAGTTGAAATTTTCAGAGTATATATTTCTATTGCCGATATAACAACAAATATTAAAAATAAATGAAAATAAAAAATATAAATACAAGAAACATTTTTTTACGTTCGCAAGCGATTATCGAAATTAATATACCTACTACATACATAGAGTAAAAATTAAATAAATAAAAAGTATCTACATGTAAATAATAATTTAGCGGAAGTACAATTGAATCTACCTAAATAAAGTAAAATATTATAGGCGTGTAAAATCTGAAACTATGGGGAATAATATTAGTGATCAAAAAAATCACGAGGCTAATTTTAATAAAAACATTGAGTGCATTTTTTTCTAGACATATATTTTGTATACATTACCTATATATTTATACTTACACTTTGGCAAAAATTGGTAATAACTGATAAAACTAATTCTTTCTTACAATTTGTCTTCTGTATGCGTTCACCTTTACATTACGTCTGCCATACGTGTACAATGTACATATCTTCATTAATCATAGAAACGGTCAACGCCAGGAAATAGATATTTTCTAACATCACTTTAAATCTTACATGAAAATATGTTTCAATGGATTTTTAGCCCTGCTCGTTCCAGTTCAGACTTATGTCAGATTATTTTGTTATTTTTTTTGCAGTCTGATATTTTTATATTTTATTTTTATATGATGTAAATCCTATTTCAAACACTTGCTTAATTTTATAATATTTTATAAAGTTTTAATAAAAACAATTTTGTTTTCTTGCTTAAAATCTTCTTTCATTAAGTTGTTTAAGAATTATAAATTGAAATTAATATGGGAGCGGGAGTTAAATAGTATTTTTAAAATGTTTTGTGTCCGCGTCGTTTTTAATTTTAAAAGAGTTTTTGTATACATTCGTTAAGCATAATTATATACAAGATTTAATTTTTTTTAATATGTAAAGCGCCTTATAAATTTGAGATCGCTAAATTACTATGGAGGGTTTGTGAAACTAATAATTCTTCCAGGAAACATTTTTTCCATATGGAATCTACACATATAATAAAATTGTAACTAAGCCGAATCTGTACATTTATTTAATGTACAGATTCGGCTTAGTTACAATTTTATCATATGTATAGATATTTTATATCATTTGCTAAAGCGCGTTCGTTAGTAAAATTTAACATTTAGTTATGAGGAAAAGATGAGTGTTTCTATATTAGACAACTATAGACATGTTTCATGTTCGTGACAGAATTTGGGATTCCAATCACGAATAAAACGCTTACGCAATAAACGGAAGTTGCCGGAAATGTCGATTTAAATGTATTTATACCTAAAGTCGCAGTCTTAAAAAAGTCTACATCTTACAATTAGCCTACAATTAGAAAACTCGGCTAGAACGTGGGACTTACTTAGTATATGAAAGTATGATGAAAGAGGACAATAAGTTGCTAATTTAAGATTAAAAACAAAGCTTAGTATAATTTTCATATATCTTTATGAATTGGATGACAATAACATGATAAATTTAGTTATTTTTTTCTACAGAAAATCAATGAATTGTTTAGCAGAATAATCTATGTATTTGCTATAGAGAAAACTCCCTGTTTGATAACGCTGATACACATATCTATCCAGGGCCGGATTTAGGGGTGTGGAGGCCCCGGGGCAAAAAAGGAGTGGAGGCCCCTAATTATTTTCCGAATAAATTGAAAAAAATTTTAGTCAAGTGTTTTAAGTATTTAATGCAAAACAAATGAAATTATTTTCAATAAACCTATGTTTGATTTATTTTAATTTCTTTTGTAGGGGCTCCTCTCTTGTGGAGGCCTCGGGGCTCTAGCCCCGGTTGCCCTCCCCTAAATCCGGCCCTGTATCTATCTATACTTAATATTATAAAGAAGTAAAGTTTGTGAGTTTGTGACGTTGTAGGAGGTAATCTCTGCATCTACAGAACATATTTCGATGAAATTTGGTAAAAAGATAGTTTGAGACCCTGAGAAGGACATAGGATACCTTTTATCCTGGAAATCATTCCTTAAGGGGGTGAAAATGGGGATGAAAGTTTATATTACTAAGCAAGCTAGATCGCTAGTTTATTATATTTTTGAATAATAAAGAAGAAATTGTTTCCAGTTCTTGGAAATTCAACATCTAAGAGGCTAAAGATAGTTTGAAGTAAGTTACAAGGAAAATATTCTCACCAATACTAGTAAAGTATCGGAAAACTTTTGGGTAACTTACGTATATATGCTTATCCATTTTTGGTTAAATGTGTAGGATCACTCAAAGAGATGAAAAGTTAAGAGCAAATTACAAACTTTCTCTCTGCTTCGATATAAAATATTATGTACCTAGTTACTATAATCGAGAATATCGAAAACTAATTATAACTCAAATTATTTTCTTCGTAATATGATCATTGTGATACAAATTGGTAGGTACTTAACTGTGCAATTGGAGCGAAGTATGTTTAATGTTTATGCATGCGATTATAATTTAATAGGATATGCATTTAACTATATAAAATCCGATTGAACCGAAGGGTTTGAGTTTGATTTTAATGCAAAGATTTCGATCGAGAATTAAATTTTCAAAAGTATCGAGTATTTACATACAGGTATTTTTAACATTATATTTTAAACTAAAATTTGAAATTTATATAAAATAGCAGTACCCGCGGCTTCGCTTGCGTCCAAACTTCCGATCGCTAAAAAAATTCACAGGATCACCCGCTGGGCTAATCTGAAAATTCCTGAAAATTTCATCAAAATCGCTCCAGCTGCTTTGGAGTCCATAAGAAACATACATACACACATCGATTTTTATTATACTTAATCAACAATTTAAATTTATTTATTGCTCGGAAAATGGAGTCTTTTATGAAAATTTAGTGACACACCGACTGCAGCGCCACCTACCGGCTCCATTTGTGAATTCAAACCTTGCAGATATCCACTCGAACGTACACAAAAAATATCACTAAAATCGGTCCAATACTTTAGGTGGAGTAGGTTAAAAACACATCTACAGAAGAATTATATATATGAGTACATATACATCCAAATTAAGGACTTCCTTTTTTAAGTAGGTGAGAAAATTTGTGAAGAGCTTTTGTTTGTTTTCAACTTAACCTTAACAATTATTATTTTTGTAACTAATGTTACTATTTTTCGAAAATATTCATTTCAATTTTTAAAAACCAAATTTATAAAATAACTTATTATTAGTAACTAAATAACGCTTTACTTAATAAGCCATTTTTCTCTCGACTACTACTACGACTACTAATGTACGATATATCAGGCTAATAAAAATATAAATATAATTTAAAAGGTATAAATAAAATAAAAATTAAAAAAATATTGTTTTTTATTCGCACGTCTTTTTCTGCTATTTAATCTAAATTTGGTTCAATCAATTACCACGCGTGGGCGAGACCGTGGGCGGCGTAGGTCAAGGGAGCGTGGACGAGGTGGGCGGGGTGAGTCTGAGACAGACTTTGGTAAGCGACTGATCTGGAAGCAGCGTGACCAGCGATTACGGGGGCAGAGTAGGCTGAGATGGCAGGAACACCATAGGCCGAAGTGTAGGCTGAGAGAGCGGGGGCGGCCACTACTGGGGCGGAGTAGGCAGCGAGGGCGGGAGCGACCACGGCGTGTCCAGCCAGCTGGCGTGCGGCTACGGGGGCGATGCTAGCTGAGGCACCGTCCACTTGGGCGGCGGCGACTTGAGCGGAGTTCACTGCCTGCCAGGCGTGGTCTTCCGCGGCGTTGATGGCTCTGCCTTGTTGTTCACGTGCTTGGTCGTTGAGCTGTTGGACGGCGTCAACGGAGGCACGTGCGTGATCCGACGCTTGGACATGGGCGTCGATGGCGGCACCCTGGATGTCACCGGAGGGGATAGTGGGTACGGCCAGGGTAGCATGTGCGACGGCCACGGGGGCGGCGTAGGCGAGGTGAGCTCCATGGGAGAGCAGCCCGCTGGAGTAGGATGTGGCCAGCAGAGACCCCGAGGGTGCTGCTGCGGCGCAGGCGAAGACGGCGGCTACAATCTGTAAAGGCACACGTTATTACTCGTATATTTAAGATTGTTTTAATGAATTACCATGTATTATTTAGATTTAAATACTTAGTTTTCCCTTTATGTTATATCTTAGCGGGCATAACATGTTATGTTTCTCTAACATAACAATGATATATTATATTCTTAGATTTTGTCGTAAACGATTTTATTTCCGAAATTACATAGTAAAACAACCCACCAGAAATCTCATCGTGCACTTCTGTTAGACTGCTCGAAAGCTACTGATTGATCTCATTACGTTTCAGCCAGCTTTTATAGTCGATCTATAATGACGTGAAACGGAACTTGATATTATAACCAGTTTTTATGATATTATTTTATGTAGAGTGTAATTATCATTTTTATTCATATAGCGCGATGCACCTTAAGGGCAAAAGTACCTATTGAATTTATGTTTTCTACAAATTAAGTGATGTAATTTTAGCCACAATATAGAGCAATCTTTACTTTTTCTACTTTGCTGTGTTCGTTGAAATACGAAGTAGGTAAGTTAATTTTTTAAAGTATGCACCGACACTTTCTCAACTATTATATTAACTAACATTATACATATTAGAATCTTTTATATACCACATACTCTAACAATAATATTAAATATTTGCTACGTGCGAAAATAAAACATGACCTCCGGCTCCGGGTATAGGAAGGTTTTGGTATAGAAAGGTGTAAGGCAGACCAATACGTAAAAATATCCTAGCATGATATAAAATGTTAAATCAATGTAGTTGCTGTAATTGACAGTTAACACTTAACTCTATTACTTAAAAATATCTCCATAGTCCATTCTCATCTCCTTACACAGTAGTAAAAACAAACATACTCGAACCTGTAGTCTTCGCGTATGCTTATATGATTGTAATCTTTTTGTGGCACTTTGTCATCGAATGAATGATGTTGACCAAATGGTGAATGAAATAAATGAATTGAGTCAAAGAATAAATGAAAAAATCCCACTATGGGTGTGATTTCAAGCACACGTATTCATCATCATATTCCACTCGGTATCATGTCTTACGTCTTATTATTTCTATTATCGCGACTGTTATTTCATAGATATTTTATTTATTTATTTATTTAGTCGCTTATAAATTTGTGTATTAAAAATAAGTACCTGGGGACCGGAATTCTTTTGTGTTATATCGTTTTTTTAGATAAAAAAATTAAAAATTTGAATAAATAAAAAAACTAAAGTAAAAACTTTGTACCCGACCGAGATTGGAACCCGGTCATCTGTTATTGTCAACCTTGCGCCTTGGTCGCTTGACTACACTGCTTATTTCCAAGCGTTCGAAATCGACAATCATATTTTGCGTATAGAATAATGCGAAATAAAACCGCATGAAAACTCAAAAACGCGCGTTTTCCCAGACATACGAACTTTCAGTAAAATCGTTAGAGTCAGTTCTGAGATTATCGGTATAAATAAATATACAAGAATTGCTCGTTTAAATAAATTTAGATACACAAGTTGCTCCGATGGTTTTAATGAAAGTATAAAAATTAGTTCGGTTGGGTTGAGTTTTAGATCACGTTAATATTATAAAGCTGTTAGCTCTATATTCGTCCGACTATTTTTGAAGTATCATTATTAACTATGCCTTTTTAGATGGCCGATTTTTATTGCGCATAAAAAAACAAAAGAGCCCAGCATATTAGGCTAATTAATAACATTTTCAATACCTAATGTTTTGGTTGATAATTTGTACTATTTTTTTTAATTAAAAATGGGCTCACTCTTGACCTTCATCTTAGCTTGAAGGCATAGATAAGGTCTATGATCTAGCGACTTTGCCCAGGAGAAGCCTGTTGACACGCACCTTAAAATGTTTCAGGTTGAAAAGGGAAGAACGAGTCATATCTTAAACGTGCATTTGGCTATACCCGACCGTATTTGCGGCAAGATATTATAGAGTACAAGGGTACGTGCAGGCACAAGTGCTCTCTATTCCTGTCATACTCACACTCCGGTGGAAGGACAAATTGGCACGACCAATAACAGATTAAGCGCATAACTAACAGCTTTACAAGTTTTACGAGGCACAGAGACGAAACACGCCAACTTTCCAACTCCTTGCTATTACTGGGACTTTCTTGACACTTAAAGACTTAATAGCAATACTTGGCCTGACCTGGGAAAGTATATTTTATGGATAAGTCAGTTTTATGCGTGTAAGCGTTATCTTATAACACTGTAAGCCAGGTATTAGCCCCTGCACGCAGCATCTGATTAGGTTATATGTTAGTTAATACACCTTTCAAATGTGTTTGATTTCCGGGATTATAAATCTTCGATTTGTATCTGCTGGCACCGACTTCGAAAATATGTGATTAGGTATCTATTCTACATGAAAATTCTCGTTTAGTTATTTTTTACTTTTTAGTGCCTGGAAGTCGGTTTTTACTTATTTTTTTTAAGATTTTATTTTTCCCTTTTTAGTGTAGACGTAATATGCATGTAATTTGTAACAAGATTTTTTTTAATATCATATTCGATTAAGCAATTTATTAAAAAAAAATTATTGTTGATTTTTCTAAAAACCTACCTCTAAACCTTTCTAAAAATTGCGAAGCCCCTCCTTTTTGGAAGTCGGTTAAAAAGATGTGAATGCGATCAGCTGAATATGGAAATGGATGGTGCAAATTGTAGGAGGCCTACACCTAGCTGTGGGTAGATAAAATCTGAAAAGATGGCGTGGAGAATAGAAATATTAAAATAACATTTAGGTCCAGAAATAGCACTGTTCATTAATTAACTATTAGCTTTTTTCAGAAATGTTTTTCACGAAAAGCCCAAAAAAAACCATAAAGCCTTTTTTTATTATAAGAAGTTATTATTGTTTGGTTATTGATTCGTGAGTGCGTGTGTGTGTGTGTGTGTGTGAACATACTTGCGTGTGTGCGTGCGTGCTTTTATAATTTTTTTACATAATTTTATCATATCAGTGCTAGGCACTCCACTGCACTCCACTGCTAGGGCCTCCCTTTAATACAAGAGGGGTAAAGCCATATTCCACCACGCTAGCCAACTACGGGTTGCGGGGTTGATTGAATACCTGCTACTTTCTAACTGACGACAAAGAAACAGTATTCTTCATTTCAGGTTCGTCACAAGGCTCTGCATAGAGATAGATAAATCACATTTAAATGTGATATATTAAAATCGTTTGTTTATTTTTATGTTCATGGTGTGCTAAATTTAGCCACAATATTTTTTAGAAAATATACAAAAATCACAAAATATTAGTTAATTATTTATGGATGTTATATATATTATTAGGAATTATATTTTATTTTATGTTTTTTTTAATTAATGATTCTATCACAAGAAAATAACAGACTTAGATTTTTTAAGATCTGTCGTGACGAAGTGTGTGACGAAATAAAGGAACTTTGTCTTGAAATATTTTCTAGACTATTTTAGTAACAAACAATTTAGGTGTAGAGTTAGATAAGAGCTCTTGGTAGCGTAACCAATAATGGAAGCGCATTAAAAAGTGCCCTAACTTGCTTCCAAAAAAGAATAGTACATCTGTGCCCATTTCGTATATGCTCAATTTATCGGGAGCACTGCCGTGCCTCAGATCCCAGATTAAAAAAATAATGTAAATGGTGATGCTAATATGGTGATTTAAATAAAAGAAAATTTTAAACAATTATTTTTTTTTATTTACACGTCTTTACCTGCTATTTAACCTAATTTTGGTTTGAGTGTTTACCACGTGTGGGCGAAGCCGTATTAATAAGCCACGTATGGTCAGCGAAGGTAATATTTACCACGCGTGGGTGGCGTAGGCTACGGGAGCGTGGACGAGGGGAGCGGGGTGGGTCTGAGATAAGCTTTGGTAAGCGACTGATCTGGAAGCAGCGTGGCCAGCGACCACGGGGGCAGAGTAGGCTGAGATGGCAGGAACACCATAGGCCGAAGTGTAGGCTGAGAGAGCGGGGGCGGCCACTACTGGGGCGGAGTAGGCAGCGAGGGCGGGAGCGACCACGGCGTGGCCGGCCAGCTGGCGTGCGGCAACGGGGGCGATGCTAGCTGAGGCACCGTCCACTTGAGCGGCGGCGACTTGAGCGGAGTTCACTGCCTGCCAGGCATGGTCCTCCGCGGCGTTGATGGCTCTGCCTTGTTGTTCACGTGCTTGGTCGTTGAGTTGTTGGACGGCGTCGACGGAGGCGCGCGCGTGGTCCGACGCTTGGACATGGGCGTCGATGGCGGCACCCTGGATGTCACCGGCTGGGATGGTGGGTACGGCCAGGGCAGCGTGTGCAACGGCCACGGGAGCGGCGTAGGCGAGGTGAGCTCCGTGGGAGAGCAACCCGCTGGAGTAGGATGTGGCCAGCAGAGTGCCCGAGGGCGCTGCTGCGGCGCAGGCGAAGATGGCGGCTACAATCTATAAACGCACGAATTTATTGTTATTGAATATTTCTGTTTATCGTCATTAATTTTCTTTTTATTATTTGAATATCTATTAAATTATATCTAATAATCTATTCGCATATTATAACTGTTTTCAAAAGCTAATAATAAAATCGCAATGAATATTAGATATTTGCAAGAGCATATTAAATTGCACTACATTAAAAGTCTATAATATTCAATAAGGAAAAATAAAATGTAAAAATAATAAATAAATTGTAATCAATCGAAATCACAATCCATGACATAAGTACAACTCTTTGTTGTTAACTAATGGCGCACATAATACGAATGAAACTTGAATTTCCGAAAGTACACAAGAAAACAACCCACCAGAAATCTCATCGTGCACTTCTGTTAGACTGCTCGAAAGCTACTGATTGATCTCATTACGTTTCAGCCAGCTTTTATAGTCGATCTATAATGACGTGAAACGGAAGTTAATGCAAAAACCAGCTTTTAATTTTTCTTAGTATAGTTTTTTAAGTATGATAAGATGAGATGACATCTTCAGAAGTAATTGATTTCCTTTTTTTTCTATAAATGACTAAAGTCACATTAAATTGTATTTTTCTCTCTGTGTCAGTTCGGTTTTGTGTAATATAAATTAAGCGTTTCGTTAAAAGTGTAAAACTTTGCTTATGTAAAGTATAATTATTTTTAAGTAGTTGTTTTAAAAACTAATATCAATATCAAAAACTAATATTAATATTTTCAAAACCTTTAATTTCTGCAAAAATAGAGCATGTGACATTGGGATTTACAGAAAGGTA